ATTTCTGCATGAATCAAGAATGTATGCAGATAATTATCTTTTTGGACTATCGAAACATTTGTCAAGTTGGACTAACCTATTTTATCAAGCTTGTCCTCCTGAAGATGAATTATCTTATTTTAATTCAGCCTTCCTCAACTTTAGTTGCCTCCAATTTTGTGTGTTTGAACTTCAGAGTTTAGACAGGAAGGTTATTGAGAATTTTCAGAGTTGACGTTCATACTACTGGAAAGGGTCCGTCATTGGAAGTCCAAGCCAAAATGTCCTAAATTTTATCAACTACATGGCCAAATGAAGAAGAATGGAACTTTGAGGAATTTCTAGCCTCGGATTATTATTTATTTGAGGATGCTAATTGGAACTCTGTCTCATATAAGACAGTACATTACAGTATGGTAATCCAATTCAAGATGATTAAGGCACAAGGGCCCATAGTTTAGTTTATTAGTTTATTAGTTTTGTATACCGCCCACTCCTGAAGGACTCTGGGTGGCTTACAATAAAAAGGTGAAGGGGGATAAATAACACAAAACAATTTAAAATACAACAACATTCACAATTAAAGTGGGGCTGGATTCTTCAACAGCCCCAGGCCTGCCAGAACAGCCAGGACTTAGTAGCTTTACGGAAGGCCGGGAGGGTAGTAAGGGTCCGGATCTCAATGGGGAGGTCGTTCCAGAGGGTTCTTGTTGAATGATCACTTATTCAGTGTTTGAAGTTATGATGATGCTGAATATGGGAGACTTCTAGTTGCAGCTGTTGCTGCAATCCTGGCTCACATGATTGCAATTTGAGCATTTAGCCACCAGTTCATAATAATAACTTGCAGGATCCTGCAGTCACATAATCATGATTTGCAACATTTCCTGCCAACTTCTTACAAAGTCAAACCAACTATTATGTGAGGATTACCTGTAAGCAGATAATGAAAATGAGAGCTGCTGTTAGCTAAATTAAAGTAACTGTAAAATTTGTATCAGTCAAGAGGAGGTGCTTGAAATTGAAAGGTCAGGATTCCAATACAGAGAAAACATCCTGATGGAGGAAGCTACATTAAATAGAAAGGTTCCCATGAGCAGCATTTCCTCTGTATGTGATCTAGTTTACATCTTGTTATATTTACTGTATTTTTTGGAGTATAAGACGCACCGGAGTATAAGACAGACCTTAGTTTTTGGGGAGGAAAATAGGGGGGAAAAATTCTGCCTATCAGATTTACCTTGGTGCCCCCCACCTGGGTGAAGCTCCCATATTTTTATCATATGTTTACCACATTTTTATTCCCATAGCACCAGAAAAGCAAGCAAACACAATAGTATAATAAAACAACACTTTTTGCCACTTTTTTATTTCCCCAGGCGGCCAGGGAAACTGTTAATAAGTTTAACTAGATGTCAGGGCATTCAGCCAAACACACTTCACACCTGGTAAAAATGTAACAAAGCTGAATCAACAAACCAGCCCAGCACTTGCCTGAAGGAAACCATTGAGAAAACTCAAGATAGTGGATAGGAAAAATCCCTCCTTTGCCCTTAAAGGGATTATCCCCAAAAGAATAGAAATCACTAGTCACAGGAACACTCTGCCTTGCCTTTGAGAGGATTATCTCCCCAAAATAGAAACTGGACAAAAGAAGTAGCTCTTAAGGCAGGAAGGGAAGCTCTGGACAGACATCAGAAACAAAAGAATGAACCCTCAACTTGCATTGACCCAGGGTAAAAAAAAACCAATAAAACCACAACTCAGAACCCCCAAAACCATCTTGCAAGACAGGAACGCTGGTCACTTTTGCTGTATTGCCCTTCTGTAATAAAACCTGCTTTAGCCTGTTATCTTCAAATCTTTCGCCGTCAATGTCTCCCAGCTGGAACGAACCGGGAAATTTTTCCAACAGTATGTAGCAGTAAAAATATTCGAAGTTTTTTTTTCAGCCCTAATGAGGTGCTAACGAGTGAAGCGATCTTTCCTTCCTGCTTTGCCTGCTTTTCTCATTGCTGCTCCCTCAGACAATCAGCTATGCTTTAGAAGCTTTTTTTCAGCCCGAATGAGGTGCTAATGTTAACATCTCATTAGGGCTGAAAAAAAGCTTTGAAAAAGCTAATAATTTTCAGCCTCTTTTAGGAGGGGGGGGGAGTGCATCTTATACTCCAAAAAATACGGTAACTTATCTTCTATACTATGGGAGTTCTGCCTAATACACAAGCAGCTGTGTTCTGCCCTTAGCAAATCATACCTGGACTGCCAAATTCACATTTGTTACTTAGTCATGAAGGAACTGTACCAGATTTGGAACACCTTCAGATGTTCTGCTTTTAGACCACAGATGGGATGTTCTCATTTTTGTGCCCCAGGATGGTGCACATATTCTTACAGATGGCTCATGCCATGGATGGTAGAAGTCTTTCCTACTTGTAGTCTCCCTCCCTTTCTTGGGAATCTTGGGGTAGGGTGGGGTGCGGGTGGAATAAAAGGGAGAACACATTT